ATGTGACCGATCAACGAATACTGAAAAGGACCAAGTACATCAAAAGGAGAGAGGAGGTGGAGTATTGATTGCTGTCAACAACAGACTAAAGTCAGTTTGCATCGGAACGGGTGACAATTTCGGAGCAGAACAAATTTGGGTAAAGGTTACCAGCATGAGAAGGAACATCTTTTTGGTTGAATTGTACATCAGACCTGACTCAACTCTCAAAGTATATGAAAACAACATGTATGCTTTGAAAGAACTAGCTTCAAAGTTGAGTGAAAAAGATGTTTTAATAGTATCTGGTGACTTCAATCTGCCCAAATTGATTTGGTTTGTTGACGAGAATGAGGACCCAGACATTGCAATTGCTATCAATGCAGCCAGTGAAAAAGAGAAGATAGTGCTGGATACTTGCTATGAACTGGGACTTCACCAGATTAACAAGAATTACAACCAAAATGGTCGTATGCTTGATATGATCTGGACAAATGATGTTGAGTTGTTTCAATGCACAATAAGTGACTATCATTTATTGAATTTTGAAAAGCACCACAATGCAATTGAAATCAAATATAATGAGCCGGTCGTCAAAACCATTGAAACAAGACAAACATATCGCGACTTTATAAATGCAGACTATAAGCGAATAAGTGAGTCGCTTCTTGATATAGATTGGCATAGTGTTTTTGATACAAGTTCATTACAATTGAGACTAGATAATTTTTATACAATTATTAAGTCAACAATTGAAACACATGTACAGTTAAAGACAAAAATCAACAGGAAACAACCGATGTGGTTTAACAAGTCATTGGTTGAGTTGAAAAACAAGGTCAGCAAAGCACATCAAAATAAAAAAAGGCTCAACACACTTGAATCAATTGAACATTACAAAGAAATAAGAAGGAAATATAAACGTTGTGCACGCTCAGCTCTCAGAGATTACAGAATAGAGATGGAGAAACAGATAGATGATGATCCAAAGAAATTTTTCAAGCACGTGAATTACAAAAAAGGGAAAAGTGAAGATCTACCGCATGAGATGACTTATTTGAATGAAAAAGCAAGCGATCAATCAACAATTGCTAGTTTTTTTGCAAAACACTTTGGCAACGCTTACAGCTTTAGAGGTGATCTGCGATATGACAGCTCGGAAATAGAAAAAATACATGATATTTGTGCTGAAATATCAATGATCGAAATAACCGAGGAGCTTGTAGGTCAACATATAAGCATTCCAAACAAATTTATCAAGCATTGTTTGGTTTCATTGCAGGGGCCAATCTCAACACTGTTAAAAGAATCACTTGAAACTGCCTCTGTCCCGCAGATATGGAGAACGTCATTTGTCAGACCAGTCTACAAAAACGGCGATAGAAATAACGTTCAAAATTACCGGGGTGTTGCTTTACAGTGTATTTTGTCAAAAATTCTCGATTCGATCGTCACAAACCATCTCAATCTATATTTGAAAAACATAATCCACGAAAGTCAACATGGATTCATAAAGAACAGGTCAACGATAACAAATTTAGTTGAATTTACTTCAAAAACAATTAATAACATGGGGAGAGGACATCAAACAGACGCCATCTATTTGGACATAGCCAAGGCTTTTGACTCGGTCAACTTAAAATTGCTTATTCAAAAATTAGAAATCATGGGACTGAATGAGCAGCTGTTAAAATGGATCGAATCTTACTTGTCTGGTCGCAGACAAATTGTAAAGATAGCAGATACCAAATCTGACCCAATCAAAGTTACATCTGGGACGGGTCAAGGATATCCAATTGGCGCTACTTTGTTCATCATGTTTGTTATTGATCTACCATTCGTCGTTAGCGATTCTTGTTTTCTTTCATTCGCTGATGATACAAAAATTTCAAAATGTATCACCTCAACAGATGATTGTTTTAATCTACAGAATGACTTGGATCGTGTAGCAGATTATTATTGACGCAATTTATTGAAATTAAATGTAAACAAAACAAAGATCATATCATATCATCGGGGATCACTGCAATATGAATACAAATACAACATAGGCGGCGTTCAAATAGAAAGAGTCTTTGTAATAAGGGACTTGGGAGTGTTGCTTGATGTGCAAATGAATTTCAAATCACACATTGAGCATGTCACGGCTAAAGCAAAATCAAGATTGGCTTGGCTAATCTACGACAATATGTGCAAAAAAATAGAGTCAGTACAAAAACAATTTTTACTTTTTGCGCTAAGGAGAATGAACTGGGACAGCTATAGACTTCCTAAATATGAGCATAGACTCCTGTTTCTACAAATGATTACGCTTGAGGAGAGACGCGAGATGGCGCAGGTGTCTTTTATATTCAAAATTATTAATGGAGATATGAAGTCGAGCCATATATCAAACAGTTTAAATTATTATGATTCAGCGCATAATACCCGTGCAACGCCGCTTTTTGATATACCGATTAGAAGAAGCGATTACACGAAGTATGAACCAATTAATTACATGCTTACTACATTCAATGATTATTATACGAAAAAAATACCAAACAGTGATACTACTTTAATTGATTTGGAAGTAAATTTATCAACAGTCAAACTGAGAATTGAAAAATATTTAAAACAAAATAGATAGAATTGAATAGAAAACATACTGAGAAAATTATTAATCTCCTTCAAAACTACTAGATGTAAGAATATAATTATTTTGTATTTATTTAAAATATATTCAATAAACCACCAAGGCGAAGGAACGCTGTTCGGTGCAGTTATTATTATTATTATTAAAAAGTGGCCAAAATGGACTGGCCGACTGGCCTATGTAAAAAGTGGCCATGGTGACTATATGCGAAATTATTTTTAAAACATAAATGGTATAAATTTATCTACCAAATAAAGCAATTTTCACCATTAAATTAAAATGGATGTGTGTTTTATTACTCAACCTCTTAAAAAACACCCTTTATTTTATACAAAGGTAATATTTGATTGGTACAAATTTATGTACAAATTAAGAATATGCATTTGCTTTGAATTGTTTTCTGGTCTCTTTGAATTATTCATGGGCTACACTCCTCATATATTCAGACGTAATGCAAGTCGGTACACAGAAAGAAAATATCAGCCGACGCTATACGCAAAACCGACTGGTACGTGCGCTCATACGTTTTTACATCTTTTACATCTAGTGACCATACGATTTTTCGACTGTGCGAAGAATCGTATGGTCACTAGATGTAAAAGATAGAAAAGCGTATGAGCGCACGTACCAGTCGGTTTTGCGTATAGTGTCGGCTGATATTTTCTTACTGTGTATTCATCCATATCAATGGCCTGATAAAACCATTGTCGGAAATGGCTTCAACTATTTTGTTAACGATTACATCACAAGTGTAAAAAATAATCTCAAAACGCACTGTGAAAAGAGATTGATCTATTTCTTCCGCATAAAATGCTGGCGCACCAATCGCCAAGGTCACATGTCAATCGTATTCAAATATCGATGATATCGACATAAGAAACACAGTAAAATATCTAATGAACAGCATCAATCTAACAAATGGCAACCAACAATGAGAAGAAAAAGTGCGCATTTTATTGGAGTTTATTCGTGAAAAAAATCGGATGGCCAAAAAATACAAACATGAAATGGTTTGAGAATATCGTTGGTTTGAATCATTGTGGTTGTTTGGTCACATTCAGCGTAAAGTAGAGCAATTCTTTGTTTGGCCCACAACAACTGAAAAACGCCCAGAACTATTACAATGATCGCAATGATAAACTATGGCGACTGTTGTTCAATATGCATAAAATTCATCAATTGGCTAAACAACAGAAGAAAATCTATTTTCAAACCGTCACCAATAGTGTATCGATATCAATATTGTACAAGAAAGAACAGAGTACGTGCAATGAAGAGCAACCGAATAGTGATGCAGCATCGGCTGCAAAGAAGTTGATGCGGCTGACCGTGAAGTATTATTATCAAAATGCATCGCAATACTGCGAAATGGAATGGCAGCGAACGCGTTTGTATGAAAAATGTTCGTTCGTATAAATATTTTTCGGTTCGTGTTCGTTCGTATTCGCTATAACCCCCTTAGCGTTCTTTCGCATTCGTTCGTAAAAAAAATATTCTATTCGTGTTCGGTCGTATTCGTTCGGCATATTTTTAAAAGAACAAAATCCACTACCCAAATAATGTAAAATGAAAGTTCAAGTGATCATTCGTATTCGTTCGTAGAAAAAATGTCTGATTCGTGTTCGTTCGTTCGTGTTCGTTATAGAAGATGACGTGTTCGTTCGCATTCGTTCGTAAACATATTTTCGATTCGTGTTCATTCGTATTCGTCACGAACGCGATCGAACATGAATATGAATGTTCGTAGCCACATCTGGGCTGTATATGCAACTCTCGAATAAGCACGTCTCGATTTAGATAATTACATCAAATCGACGAAAAAATGTGATACCATCGCCAAGAATATCACAAAGAATGAGGCATCAACGGTATTTATGGTCAAACCAAATATTGATAATAATTTGAGGCTCAAACCAAATATTGACCATTCAAATGTGAAATTTGAAGACGAATGGCGATCATCACAAACTTGTCGACAATGTCAATTGGTTTAATTTGCATTACAAATTGTTCGTTGGGCAGAATATCATGACATTTTTCGATTAAGTTTAATTGCTTTTTTTTTGTTTTTTAAATGGACTTTTTATTACAATTTTAACGTAAATCGTAATAAATTTATTTGATTGTTTTTGTGTATGTTCGAAAAGGTTAATGGTACTAAAGCTTGAAAATACTGTGGCACGCAAAGACACAATTTGAGATATGTGATGTCACAATACCATTATTTTTATACGATTTGAATTTGAACCTTTTCATGATTTTTTTTTGAACAGTCTTCAAAATGTTGCCTGTAACAAAATATTTATGTCAAACATCAATTCGAATCATTTGTATTATTCGAATTCAAAATTGTAAAAACACACAGAAATATTTCGGTTGATTCACTTACTCCTGTTGGATTTGTTGTATGAATTTTGAAGATGCCCTGCATTTGTTGCTTCTAACAAAAACTTCGAATGTGTTAAATACATGATTTGAGTGCTTTTCTCCCTCTGCGTTTGTTTATATGAACTAGTAGCTGCCACCCTCAAAGCTTCTTCGTTGTGGTGGTAAATATGCAATCATGCTGTGTCAATATCCTGCATTAATCATGTGATTACATTTTATTGTTTTTCTTCAGTTGTCCTGAAACATCTATGCACTCTGAATACTCTTTCAGTTTTGTTGATTCGCTCTCTCACATTGCAATTCATTTTTAATGGCAAATATTTAATGACATCCAAAACAATAGTAATGTTTATGGTTCATTTGATTTTATTTCTGTTTCAAATAAGACTCTTCGTTTATTCTTGTTTCCGAGAAAGCATACTGTAGGTTGTAATTGTAATTTACAAATATGAGTTGTCAGCTATTTTAAACGATTATTCGCAAAGCAGCTAAAGCGGAATGAATCGGATTTCTCTCTCATTTCATACAAAATACACTGCCAATTAACTTGGAAGCAATGCTTGATGTATCACTGTATAAACGAGTTTAATTAACCTCAAGGGTCACTTAAAAAAAAATTCTTCTCCCACACAGCTTGCGAAAATCATAAGCTTGCAAGTTAGCTTGAAGCAAAGAGTAAAAACAAAAATACATTTGAGAATATTCAAATAAATATATATTTTTCTATTCTTGTTTTTCTTTTAAAATTTTTGACATATGATAATAACTCGAATTCCTTTTGGTTTTGTCTGATTTGAATCCCTTAAATGAAAATAGTATGCATTTTATTTATGTTTTAATGTTTCTCTTGTTTTATTTTACGATCATTTTAAAATAAATTAGACACCATTCAGCATAAATTCAATTGAAACAACATTTTGAATCAATTTTGTATGACCACTTTGTTGTAGTTGACAATTTTGATGTTGACAATTGAATAATGTTGTTACACTAAATTGAAAATTTTCTTTTTCGGACAACTTGAAAAATAAATGTTAAACATATTATTTTCTCAGTTTTAATGCGCATTTAATAATTTTTACATCAGCTGAACAAATAAACATTAGTATTCAAGCTGGTTTCGCGTGACCCCAATCGTTGCCGTAACATGTTTTTTCTGTTATTTTTTTTAAAAAAGAAAACAGTGTGCTTAAGAAACGCCGATTAAAATATATTCAATACATAAGAAATATGAAGATTAATTTAAAACACCAAGATTTATAAAGAACGACAAGTATTTTGCCTTTTTTGATATGTGACCATAGTAGATCCTTTTGATTTTCACATTTCGCTCAAATGTCAAATGAGGCAGAAAATCCATAAAATTAATAGGGTTTTTTACTGAAAAAAAATTAAACGTACGCATCTCATAAGAATAACTAGATAATATTCGGAGGAATTTTAATTTAAAATATGTGAAAATCAAATTCTATTTGGTTTTCATGTGTCATTTATCAGTACGTTAAAATATCATGTCAAAAAATTAATTCAAAAGAGAAATGGTTTTGCTTTTCATGTTATTTGCTTTGTTATTTGGTTGAAATTCGGTGGTAAAATGCGAATACTCATGGTATATTGCACATTGTGTAGATCTTTTTTTTTCGCTTGTTCTTGGTGCTGAACGCATTTATCTACGTTTCAATAGATTACCGCCGCCGATTCGATCAACAGCTCTTTTCAGCAGATTTGCACCGCCTATTGGATCGATGGCACGTTTCAATTGATGCTGATTGAGTGCTGGTGATACTTGTGAAAATACTACATTTTGGACTGGTTCCTTTTGTTGTGACGAAGTTAGCTGCTGTAGGACTGGTAAATGATGATGTGCATTTAATAAATTATTCATTCGACGTTCCAAATTGTACAGTTGATATGCATTGGCCAATGTACGTTCTAGTCCATCCAAACTCCGTGGCACAATTTCGCCATTATATCCATCTTTAAAACTGTTACTATTATCCCAAAAATCGGCTTTGTACGCTATTGGACGAGCCACATTAACATGATCGTACGGTTCATCTGATCATTTTTGTTATATTTTGCAGTTTATTTAAATCGATGGATGCAAAATTCCAGAAAGAAAACAGAAAATTCTTTAATATTTACTTTTGAGTGTATTATGATGTGTATTCGTAATAAGAAATATGTTTTCAATGTTATTTGAAAATCTGGGTGCAATGTGCAGTGTGTATTTCAGTGCATTTAGTCTCATTGTGTGAGTGTGTGTGTGTGTGTGTGTGTGTGTGTGTGTGTGAGTGTTGATAGGTTGTTTTATTGTTTTATGTGCGGAAGTTGAATAGGAAAAAAATTGAAAAGAAAACTGAACTGATGAAGCCGTATCCTATGATGACCTTTGTTCAAATCAGTTGAATTTTTGTTGTTTCAAAATCAGAGCTTCATTAGAGTTCAATTTTTTCTTCATACATTTTTTCACAGATCTCTCTATATTTTATGTAGTTTGATTGAATGCTGTATTGTGTGCTGTGTATAAAATTTGGGAATAATATGCCGAGGAACATTCAATCTTATTTGAATGTTTACTTGTTTTATTTGACGTGAGTCTTTGTATATTGTGCATATTAGTATATGTGTGTACGTGTACGCATAATTCGGTTATTTTAAATAAAACGTAAAAATGTAGGTAGCATAGAAATGCCAAAAATCAAGATAAACAATTTAAAATAATAATAATTACCGTAATGATTTTGTTGTTTTATTTCTTCCAGGTGGTAGATTAAGTCATCGATATCCTGCAAAGAAAAATAATTGATGTGAATGAATGTTCTCTGTGATACATTTTTGACTAGGGGACATTCATACTTGAAAAGCTAATAGGAATAGTAGCAACTAGCAGCACTAGAAAACACTAGCATGGAAGCAACTAGGAGAAATTTTAACAAAATTTTGTTCACATGTTCAAATCATTGTTCCACTAACAAAATTATTTTATAATTTCTACTAGCATGCCTTCGGCTCCCTTCGCTCGCCTCGGCATACTACCCAAGCACCAAATTTGCCTTGTTCGGCCGGGGCATTCGCAACGTGCGTCAGTTACGAACACACGAAACAGAATATGGAGCGAGACACGAAGAAAGTAGTGTATAAGCGTATGCGCTTCATTCCTTGTATCTTATTCGTTATTCCCCTTTTTCAGCTGTTTGCATGGCAAAGGCTGCTTAAAAGGGGAATAACGAATGAGACGCAAGGCACGAAGCGTATATGCAAAAACACTACTTTCTTCGTGTCTCGCTCCGTATTCTGTATTTTCGTGCTTTCGTATCTTAAAGATAAAATCACCAGAAATGTACCTGTATGATACCGTAATGACATGAAACTTTTTACAGGCTATTTTCTTTCAAAAAAAAAAAAAGAATAACATTCTTAACGTTTGAAGCAAATTTCAATACAAATTGAAGGTACCTTCTATACAAAGTATTGTACAAACTCTACTTTTTTGGTGATTTTTTCAAATATTGGTTGTTTCTCAAAACTGACGTCAGATTCGGTTTTCTCGTACCAAAAAAAACCCTTTACACATTTTAAACTTTAATTTACGTCTCTGGGAAAAGATTTATCTAGTTAACAAATTTTCGCATAACATACCCCCTATGGGTACATCATGGATACACCGATGAACGAATATCGCTCAAAAACAATACCAGCCTACTCCTTGCAATCCCAGTCACCCTGTAAAGTCAGATGTGAAATTGCGTAGAGTACACTTTCGGGAGGTTGCTGTTGAAATGATTCGTTTTTCATGATCGTTTATTTCGGTTTTAGTTTTCAATATTCGAGTCCAATTCAACAGCATCAAAATCGAACGATTTTCGACGCTGGATGACCAATGTTGAAAGCAATGGTTGGCAATGATGGACCTTGTTAAAACTGTGGTGAATCCGCCGTAAAAACCATGGTAAATCATGTTTTGACACGTTTTACCATGATGGTCGATCTCAAAATCCATGGTAAATCATGTGTGCAAAGTATAAGTGTGCAAAGTTTGGTTCAGATCGGTTAAAAATTGTGAGAGGAGTTAAGGACAAAAGAATAGCATTTCGTTTTTATAATATAGATATAGATAATATAGATAAAGAAATTTAGATCCTATATTGAATATAAACAAATTGATAAAATATCAACAATTCAAGCAACCATAAAATTCACACTATCTCATCTATCTGCATTACCATCTCTATAATATAATTCGTATTATAAGTTACGAGCCATACCAGTATAAATAACAATATTAATTCGCCACTTCAATTTGAAATAGTTAAGTATCAACTTGCATTTGCAAAAATTCATTCGATGATGAGATTTTTTTCCTTAAATCTATCACACTTAAAAATCAAAATTCGAAACCCAATTCATGCAATTTTGCCATCGTTTTCATTGATTTGTGGCACGGTGTATTATCTTGGTGAAACAACACTTTCTTCTTTCGTTCTTCAAACGCTCCAATAACGCTATATAATAGTCGCTATTGATAGTCTGGCCCTTTTTAAGATAGTCAATGAATATTATACCATGCGCAGCCCAAAATACTGATGCCATAACCTTGCCAGCCGACTGTTGCGTCTTTCCACGCTTTGGATTGGGTTCGTCGCGTGCAGTCCACTCCGCTGACAGTCGATTGTACTCTGGAGTGTAGTGATGGAGCCATGTTTCATCTATTGTCACATATCGACGCAAAAATTCGGTTTTATTGCTGTTAAACAGCTTCAAACATTGCTCCGAATCATCAACACGTTGTTGTTTTTGATCGATTGTGAGCTCACGCGGCACCCACTTTGCGCAGAGCTTTCGCATATCCAAATATTCGTGAATAATATGATGTACACGTTCCTTTGATATCTTTAGGGTCTCAGCTATCTCGCTCAACTTCACATTACGGTCATTCAAAATTATTTTGTGGATTTTTTTGATGTTTTCTGGCCTAACCACCTCTTTTGGACGTCCACTGCGTTGTGCATCGTCTGTGTCTGTACGACCACGTTTAAATTCACGAAACCAATATTTTATATTTGATTGTGCTGGCGCAGAGTCCGGGTAACATTTATCAAGCCATTGTTTGGTTTGCACAGTATTTTTTCCCATCAAAAAACAGTGTTTTATTAACACACGAAATTCGTCTTTTTCCATTTTTTTCACAATAACAAAAGTTGTTTCACTCAAAACGCTATATCTCACGAACCAATTGACCGATTGCTGTCAAATTTTGACACGTATCGTTTGAAGGTTCGTACTAACTAAAAATCATAGCAAAAAAAATCCAGTGACGCCATCTATATGTTAGGACAAAGACTTATCTACCCACCTGTTACATGTGAGCACTTCGAAACATTCATCTGCAACAGCAGGTTGCACCAAATGTAACAGCCACACATTGATTATAATATTTGTTGGATACAAGGGGCGGATATGAGTGAGACTCAAACATGTGCTTCTTCTTCAAAACAATAAATACACAAGCATCACATGTACAGCAGAAGTCAATAATTATTGATCACAGAAACAAAGCTGAGTAGCGTGCGCACTGCGCATTTATTTCTGTTTGCACTGCTGTTATGGCCTATACTTTTGATGTTTGTGAGTTTGTGTGT